TGAAGTTGCATTTTATTATTACACTTTTTAAATTGTCTAATTGACATCAAAATTTGTCAAAACAAAAAAAATACTATTACTATAAGTCTATAACACAAACATTGGGAAAATGGTACCCACACGCACCCACCCTAAATGGGTCGGATCCAAAGGACAGTCTCGTAACTGCAAATTCACGCCACGTCATACAAACAAACGGTTTGCTGATCCAAACACGCCGTCATTTAGCCCGGAAGCGCGTGAACTTTCACGCGCCTTCACCTCTCTCTCTCTATCTCACCCAATCAGATCGTTTTAATGGTTAGTTTAATCGATCTTCTTCTTCGTCAAGTATCTCAAAATCAAAAACAAGTTTGCTTCATTCATACTTCAAATTCTCCACTCTCTGCTTATGTAAACGAGATTTTCAACGGAGACGTAGAGAGAGACGACGACGACGGAGAAGGAGGAGGCTTCGTCGACAATGCGAGAATGGCTCAGTATAGACAATCAGGAACGGAGAGGTTTTTGGGAGGTCGAAGCGGTTACAATCCTTATGTCAACGGCGGAGCTTCGTCAGATCATGTAGCGATCGGGATCCGTAACGGCGGTGGTGGTAATTTCGGAGTTGTAAATCAGCACGGGAAAGCTAGTCGATGGCGGCGATCTACTCGATTAGATAGGAATCGTCGTTGCGGTGTTGGCTCTTTGGTGTTTGTTCTTTGTGTTGTGCTCGTTGTTTGTGTCTCAGCTTACTATTATTTCTCTGGTTATACTAATTTTGGCAAAGATGATAAAGGTCAGTTCGATTTCTCTCGAGCTAGATCCTCTTTTGGTTGATAGGAACTGGATTCGAGAAATTGATGTTTGAATAGGATAAGGAAGAAGCTGATGCATTGTATTACGTTTATGCAGGAATTGATACATCTGAAGGTGATTTTCTTACGAATGTGTCAAGAACTGATCCATTGAAAATACTGAAGTTTGGTCATGGTTCAGTGTTACATGGACGAGATTCGAGATATTGGGATAAGGATGATAGAAGACGGGATGAAGATTATAATGAGGATGATGTAGAGGATAAATCTGTTGTTGAGGAGAGGTCAGTGTCTGAAGTGAAAAAGGATGTATCGCTGCGGAATCCTTTGAAAGGTTCGGATTGGAAGGGAGTTGGTTTTTACAATGAAGCTGGACGTGATGAGCTGAAGAAATATGAAGTGGAGTATCAGGCTTCTCTTGTAAAAGGTGGTCAATCTTTGAAGGAGAATGATGGGCATCATCAGCCATTTGATACAGAATCTAATGAAGATGATTCAATTGATTCTCATGATACTCAAGGGGATGAATATGTTGATATGGGGCATGATGGGGATGAAAATGAGGAATCACACAAAGATAATCATAGGCACAATGAGGATGGTGCTACTGAAGAATCTCACAAAGAGAATGCATCTGTTTTTCTTCATTCCACGACCAAGCATCAGAAAATTGAAAAGATTCATGGAGCAACTTCAAAAAGGTCACGTGGGAAGTCTTCTCTTGTTGGTGCGGGTGGTAAGTCCGGGAAAACAGCACAAACTGATACAAAAAGACGAGCGCGAAGTCACAGATTTTCAGGTAATGTCTTATAATTAGCTGAGTTAAAGAACATATTCTGGGCTCTTGCTTCTCAGAATACTCTTGTTGTTTAAATCTTATAGGCGTATCTTGTGAGATGAAGCTGTTGAATTCCAGTCAACAAATAAAAGAGCCTTTGAAAACTCAAAATTTTGCTGCACCCTCCTTACAATACATAGAGATGGAGGATAAACCTGATGGAGAAGAACAGTGGGAGCCTAAATTTGCAGGTCACCAGAGTTTACAGGAACGAGAAGACTCTTTCTTGGTTCAAGAGCAGAAAATCCATTGTGGCTTTGTCAAATCCCCTGAAGGATTGCCAAGCACTGGATTTGACCTGACAGAAGATGATGCTAACTATATCAGTAGATGTCACATCGCTGTGATATCCTGTATTTTTGGAAATTCTGATCGTTTGAGGCATCCTGCTAATAAAATGGTATGATAATGTAAGCCCTTGATGTATTTTCATGTTGTATTTTTCTTCTTATTTCCACATCTAGAATTTGAAATTCCTAACTACTATTCTCTGTTAGCATCGGGTTAGGTACATGGAAATAGCCCATCCTACATACATGGAGACTTAAGACAATTTGTAGCACTTAGATACTCACTAGCTGAGATTTGCTAGCTGAGTTTGACCAACTGTTGAACCTGACCTGGATAGCAGTAAACTAGTTTTGGGCAACTAGATTAAGATGCGTAGTTGACAGTTGTATTTGAGTGCAAAATATCAAAAAAAAATTATTGGTTGCAGAAGAATATCTCGTGATGTATTTATAATTGCCATAGCCAGACATGCAAATGCTGAGTTATGAATAGTTGAATGCCAGGCATTTGTTTGTTTGATGGGTGTTTCTGTATCCATGAATTCAACCATCTGTTAAGCTCTATGCCCATCAGGACATTAACATTGGTTCCAGTGACTTGTTAGTAGCTTCTTTGTTCATTTTTGCGTGTTTATCTTCACATATTTTAAGGATCCGCAATAGATGCATATTCCTTTTTGTACGTGGTTTTCTTTTTTTACACGCTGATATCATCAATTTATATTCATTACTTTTGCTAACCTGGGATTTCTCTCTTCGTTTAGGTAAGTAGTTTGTCAAGAAAAGATGTTTGCTTCGTTGTGTTTGTGGACGAGATTACCATGCAAACACTTTCTGCCGAAGGCCAAGTACCTGACGGAGCTGGATTCGTTGGTCTGTGGAAATTGGTTGTGGTGAGGAATCTTCCTTACGCAGATATGCGGAGGGTAGGGAAAATACCAAAACTGTTACCACACAGACTTTTCCCTTCGGCAAGGTGAGACTCATGTCGTAGGGATAGGTTTCAATAAGTCTAACTAGCACAATTTTCTCCTGCAGATACAATTAGCCAAAGTTAGAGCGACTAGACAAGCACTTCTCAGTTTAGTATGAATGAGAATCTAGTGGAGAGGATATTAGTTGTCTAGTATATTTATAGTTTCCACAGTAAGCTACAAATGCAAGAGTCAAAATCTGAATACGTTAAAGTTTAGATGTTGGAAGTTGTTTTGGTTACCCACCTAAAGCTCTACAATTCAAAACAGAAACTCATCCGATGTATATTCTTTAGGTATTCAATCTGGTTAGACAGCAAGTTACGTCTCCAGTTGGACCCCCTAGTCATCCTGGAATACTTTCTGTGGCGTGAAGGGCACGAGTATGCTATCTCCAACCATTACGACCGCCATTGCCTATGGGAAGAGGTTGCACAAAACAAGAAGCTGAACAAGTACAATCACACTGTCATTGATCAGCAGTTTGAGTTTTACCAGGCTGACGGGCTGACGAGATTCAATGCTTCAGATCCCAACAAGCTTCTTCCCAGCAGTAAGTTCTGTTCGATAACTGCTATAAGAAATGATTAAAACCCTTCTTAGGGGGCTTTTTCTGTAGTTTGTAGCCATAGCTGCTTGTGTTTTCTGATAACATAGATGATGAATGATTAGAAAGAAACTGGTTAATAATAAACAAAAAAAAATGACTAGTGTGAGTTGAAAAGTAGCAAAACTGTATCAAGCATGGTAAAGAAGTAGAAGTCTGCTAACGATTTGCTTCTGAAACTATGCTAATGAGTGCATGTGGAATTTCACATTTACAGTTTTGCCAATGGTGTGCATTTGTATTTGAATGACTGCAGCCAACTTTTATTCCAGTCTTCATATTAAGCTTTCATCGTGGGTTTAATGCTTATTACCACCGAGCTAGGCTATGGTCGTCCAATGGATGTATTCAGTACATTTATATGTTTTTCTTTTCTCACTGTGACTATAATTCTCCTTGTGTATGCTGTTTGCAGATGTTCCAGAAGGGTCTTTCATTGTACGAGAACATACCCCCATGTCAAACCTATTCTCTTGTCTTTGGTTCAACGAAGTTGAGCGCTTCACTCCCCGAGATCAGCTGAGCTTTGCATACACCTACCAGAAATTAACAAGGATGAATCCTGACACTCCATTTAATCTTCACATGTTCAAGGTACAAGATTCATGTTTTAATAACCCTCAATGAAACTATTATGATTCCATATTGACCTGCCTGATGCTTATAGATATCAGTGGATTTGGCTTTTTTTCCACTTTTAAGCTGGGTTTAAGGGTAGATAGAGATCTTCGACCTACAGATTTGTGAAAAATGGAGTCTTATAGTATGGTCTGTAAAATATAAAAACTTGCATCAGAGCCGAAAATATGAAACTAGTATCATGGGTTTGTAGAAAGTGATGAATACGAATGTAAGATGGGTTGAATGATCTGTTCTACTTGAATCAAATCTCTACGTAGGAAAGTGTCGCTATGCAGGTTTGGCCATTATGTTGATAGTTAGGTTCATAACATAATCCTGAGTGAAACGCGTATCGAGAAGAAAAATTCATAAGTCTTTTCCCTTCTGTGAAAATTTCAGGATTGCGAGAGGAGAAAAATCACCAAATTGTTTCGTCACAGATCAGAAGAGAAGCGAAACCTTATACAAGCAGCAACACAATAACAGACCACTTTTTGAATGCTGTATAGTATCGCGGCTGTACTGACTGTGAGTAAGAGTAAAACACCACAGTTATTTTTCTGAGACCAACATTGTTGTGAGAAGATCGACACACACGTTTCAGGTGAGAACCCAGTTTAGGGGTATACGAATGTGATGTGATTTTAAGAAAGAGAGAGGGCGAGGTGTTTCAATTGAAAAAAAAAAGAAAGAAAGAAAGAAAGAGAGGCCAATTCAATTCATTAACAGTCGTCTCAATGTTTTATTCAATTCATTGCTTCAGTAGGCTTGTAGTTTGTATCTGTATGATTGCAACAAGATCTCATAAAGTTCTGATTGATTATCGCGAAAGCAATTTCCGGTTTGGGTTTCTCTTGTCCTTGCCACCACTAGTTCGGTTCTGATTAATCAGGGTTCAATCACATATACGTGTATATAAACAGTTTCTCCAAACAAGTGACACATGACATTTCCGAAGAACCCAACTTTTCAGTATAACAAAAGATATTGTGAAAAATGGCTCAGCTACCTATAAGAAATTAAGAATGCCGTCTCTCTTCAGCCGATGATACCAAACGCAATGCTCTTAGGCGCTGAAGACCTTGAGGGATAGATTATATATATATACATGTATATGTGGCGAAACAATCTTAAGAACGTAATGAACTCTCTTGTCTTCGGAGTGGTACAGCTTCAAGATCATCTTCTAGTTGCTTGGTTTGACGAGCAGGCCGTGGTGACTTTGCAGACTCTTGGCGTCTTAGACTGAGAATGATGCCGTCCTGCGCAAACCCGTTACTGTCTTCTGAATGTTTTGGAATTCTCAGAAGCAGATGATTATCGTCTGATGATAAATCTGCATTTTGGTCGCTGTTAATAATCGAATTATGAACAAAGCATGAAATGATCATCTCCTACAAACAACCAAGAAACAAAATGCTTACTTCCTTTAGACTCGCTATCAACCATGTCCGTTGTTGTGTGAAGAAGAAAAGTTCCAGATAGGATTGTGACGAACCCACACAGCTCTGTAAAGATCTGTGTTCCGTTCTGCCGATCCCAATCCTGTTTAGGCATTGCAATCACCAGACAAAAAAAAAAAAACCAGATCTTATTCTTGTTTATGGCCTCAATCGTTTTGTTTGCAAGGTGTTTCTTTGTTTACTTGTAAACAGAAATGCCGAAAATGGCAACGCAGCAGCAGAGCAGCTTAGCATATAAGGAGTATAGAAGAAAAAAGAAACAAGTAATACCTTAAACATGATGACACTAGCCAAGATTGTCAATGACGTGAACATAACGTAATATATGGGGGAAACCACTGCCGTGTTGAACGTATCTAGCGCCTACCAGTGAAAAAAGTGAAAACTCGAAATGAATTTATCCTAAACAAGCATTTCATCCCATAGCATTTACCAGAGAAATTTTTGTAGAATTGGCACTTTCACTTACCTTGTTTAGATAGTTCATTTGTGTTATTACGCACATAAGAACTATCACAGTGAAGACCCATGTTTGCGGGTATCCTAATTGATTCGTTCCAGAAAAAGTGAGTTTCAACGCTATTCCAAGCGCCTTGACGCTCATAACCTGTTTGCAAACGGTCATGAATATTTTCACTCCAACGGTAAATGTATGTAACAACATGCAAGATTATAGAGTGATCACGTACCGATAATGATCCTATAAGAGAGCAAACACCGATATATACCATGACATGGGATTGCCCGTAAAGTGGTATAAATTGAACTATAAGTACAATAGCTGCTCCTACCACAGCCGCAGCGTAGAAGAGAAAAGCTGTTAAAGAACACACAATGTGTCACGAAACTATCATATAAATCTTAATTACGAGATTGGGCTTTGAAAGAGGACAGAGAGAGGTGTGTACCAGGTTCTGTTGCAAGATTCCATACTTCTAAAACGGAATCAATATCTTGTTCTTGTGGAGCATGTAACACGATTGTTACCGAACCAACGATACATAAAGCACAACCAAGGATCCCGAAAGTGTGCAACTTTTCTTGTAAGATGATATGTGCAAGAGAAGCACTGCAAAAACACAATCAAAAAGGCTCTATAACTCAATATACAACTTGGATCATTAGGACTACCTAATGTAAAAGACTACCTACCTAGCCTAGAAAACACATATGTTATGCGAAACTTACGAGTTTATTCACACCTGATAATAATGCTAAGCGCGCCAAGAGGAGTAACTAGAATGGCAGGTGCAAACGCATACGCAGCAAAGTTTGCAATTTCCCCCACAATCACTACAAAACAAGCAAAGATTGTGTCTACCATAAATGCCACCACAATCTTCCAAGAAACAATAATGCCAACACCGCATTGCACAGCTAAACCGATAACTCGATACCTCAGGTAAGAAAATTCTTAAACAAATCATGTAAGAATCAAGGAAACTCACTTGTTATCATGCCTATCCACCAAAGAGGCTCAAGCAAGTAAGAATAACCTCCTGACCCTACACATATGTCACCACCAAATTTAGCCAAACAAAAACTGTAAAATATTTACGAGACTTGAGACCATTGCAAAGAAAGCTTCAATTTTTGCCACTTAAACCTCAATAAGTCTCCATTTCAAACACACATTACAAGTGAAGCTCACACAGATTGATCAATAGACATTCTTAAACCCAAATTACTAAAAGCAGAGATAAACCTGCCCTGAGACCAGAAGCACCAGCTTTCTTAAGTCCTTTCTTCTTGACAATGAAGCTAGCACCAATGAATAAGCTTGAAGATAAAGCCAACACTAAACCCTTTACATTATCAGACGACATTCCTTTATACGCATCTCTCCAACTTCCACTAGAATCCACCATTGCTTCTATAGAACAAAACAAAACCCTAAACCCCTACAAATTCGACCCACAAGGCCAAAGACCCGAGCTTTGGCTACTGGGTATTCTCAATTCTGCGATTGACAGTGAAAAGTCGAAAGCTTTCAGATCTTGAACCCAAGTCGGTGGCTTTGGGTATGGAGATGATTTAGTGGTTCGAGAGCAAATGTTGTAGATCACAAAAAGTGACAGTGGAAGAGAAGAAGAAAGTGAAGTGATGAAGCATCTAAGAAGACGCGTAACAACGCAAGAATCCAATAAGAAGAGAAAGGTAGATATGCGTATGCGTGGTTTGCAATTGCATAGTGAACTGGTGAGAAAAGGTTAGTCTTTTGGAAGCTTTCTCTTTTATTTTGTCTTTCACTTTACACGTCTTCAATATTATTGTGTGTGTATTGTTGTTTATCAAAACGAAACACTAGATTCATTAAGATTTTAGTGAAGGAAGAATATAAAAAATTTCATAAATATTTTTGTCAACGAAGAATAGAAAAAATGTAAGGAGAGTGATATCTTGTCATTTTTCTCCTCTAGGGAGAGATCACTTCCACTTATTTTTTCAGAAATTGTTCTCATCATAGTCCTTTAGTATGGAGAAAATCTTAGTATCTTCCTCCTTTCTTATGGAGAATGATGCTAAAAATTTCGCCTCGACAGCATTACAAAGATTTCTGCTACAAGGAAGACTAATGCTGCCAAGAACGAAAAGCGTTTTCATCTGGTAACCTTGCTTGAGAGCATAGACTGATGAAGTCTGCTAAATCATTGGAGACGTACTCAAATTTAGTAGATCTTGAAAACCGTGTAGAGTTTCTTTTGATACAACTTAGAAGTATCTGTTATCTGCGGCGTGCTGCTTCTACTCCAAGTTCTGCTGGCGTGAATAGAGGGGTTGATAAGCTTTAAGCTTGTCACGAAGACAAGCCTCTCTCACTCTTATTCCGGTTGTTGGTTAATTACTACTCTCTATTATTTGTTTGTTTACTATGATAGATTGATGACTTTATCTCTCGCCGTCCGCTCTCGATGTTTTACTTCTTCTAGTTGAGAACTATTTTGCTATTGATTTTTACTCCTTTTCATTCTGTTTTCATTGGATCATTCATATATATAGAGGATGAAATTGTGTTATGTTATGTTAGAGATTGTACCTTTTTTTTATTGGAATGTTGAAGTCGAATGTTATGTTAACTATCCAATAAAATTTTGTTAAGAAAGAATATGCAATCTTTATTAACACTCAAAGAATCGATACAATTTGTCTTTCGAAAGAGCTCTAGAACATCTCTCTAGATCATCTCTCTCTACAATGACACATGCGTCACTGATACAACAAACAAATGGATAAACTTCTACAGAAACAATACTCAAGCCTATATACACAATATACGCGTGTCTTCACTTGATTTCTTCTCTTCACTTCTCACACGTACGACTCCTTTGCTTTCTTTTCTGGCACGTGTGACCTCGCTTTCTTATATACAGTTAGAGATGTTAATATGGGTAAACTCACCCTCTTTAGATTCATCCAAACCCATCCCATTTACTGTAAATCCATTTATGTTTCATTGACCCATTTAAATCCATTTAGACCCATATAACATTGTTTTGTTCAAAACAATAATATAATCAATAATTATTTAATTGATTATTTAAATTTTACATATTATTTTATTAAATTTAATTGATAAATAATGATATAACTGTACTTATTATGTTGTTGAAAAATAATATAGTTTTGAGAAAATGTAATTTTGCGATTTAGGCGGAAAACACGGTTTTACGATTTTGTGATTTGGTGACAAAACACAATTTCACGATTTTGGCAAAAAAACGATGTTTGGTGGAAAATAGTTTATGGTGATTAAATGCAATTTTGCGTTTTTGGTGGAAAATTGCGGATTTAGGTTTTGGCGGAAAACATTATCTTATGATATGAGATGTTTTGGTGATAAAACGCTATTTTGCGATTTTTTGCGAGAAAACACGGTTTTGCGATTTTGGCGGGAAAACGCAGGTTTACGGTTTTGGCGGAAAACACGTTTTGTGATTTTGGCGGGAAAACATGATTTTACGATTTTGGCGGAAAAATTTGGATTTACGGTTTTAGCGGGAAAACACGATTTTGTGGGAGAATATGTTTTGTGATAAAACGTAATTTTTTTTTATTTTGGCGGGAAAATACAGTTTTACGTATTTAAAAAAAATATTCAAATCAAAAATTGAATTTAAGTAGAATAGTTTAGTTTTAATGTATTTAATATATTGCTCTATTATTTTAGTTATTAAGATATTAACATTTTTTAAATAAAGATAACTAATATAAATGGGCTTAAATGGGTATCCATTTATTTATGTGAAACCCCATTTAATAAATGGGTTTAATTAGGGTAACCCATTTAATCCTGTTTAATATTTTTTCGGACTAATTTTTCTTATACATACCCATTTATTAAATGGGATTTCATGCCCAAGTAAGTTAACATCCCTATATACAGTTGGTGAAGCTCTGGCACGTATGACTTCTGCTTTCTTATATACACTTGGCGAGGCTTATCAATACCCCGTCCCTTCAAAATGAAGCTTGTGCTCAAGCTAATAGTGAAGGATATTGACGATGCAATTCTCTGAAAACTTCCCAAGAATCTTCATGGTCTGGTAAACCTCTCCAATGAACCAACCCTTCTAATACATCCTTGCTCCTTGTCATTGTAACCTGTCTTTAGAATCTTTTCTGGTTCAATGATCAACTCTTCATTATCGTTAAACACGTCAGGTAAAGCAATAACCTGAATACTTGATGATTGCCCCCCAAAAATTTCTTTAATTGTGATACGTGAAACACATGATGTCCTTTTTACTTCTCAAGTAATTGGAGTCTATATGCAACTTTACCAATACGTTCCATTACTGATAGTGAAAATTTACAACCATTGCCTTCTACCTAACAAATAGGACATAAATAAAATACATTTCTTATAATTTACAACCAATGGTTGAAAACACTATACTTGGAAATGTGCATAATTTACTGAATCTGTTCCTTAATAGTTTGGTTATTCCATACTCAGATCTTTCCAAATTTGTTAGGCAAAGGCAATGGTTGTAACAACCCTGCATGTGATAATGTTGAGTATTTAAGCCTTTGAGAAATGTCACACTCCGAGACAAACTTATGAATATCCTTTTAGTCATACGAAAACAAACATGCAAGTTTTGCACACAAAAAGAAATTAAAGAAAGGAAGAGTGTTAACACAAATATTGGAAAAAAGAGTATCATATTAACACACATCTTATAATAGGATCAGAGCAAAAAGATACTCAAATCTAACACCTAGAATCATAATTAAGGATTTAAAAACCAGAAAACCAAGTTAATTTTTTTTTTTAAAACTTATGATAAGGAACATAACCTCCTCTAACCGAGAAGCCAAAGTCTATCACTATTATCAGAGAATTGTCCTAACTCCTAAGATGTGTGACTATAATAATTCTATTTTTAAACTGCCATGCATCAAAAATAAATATTAAATTTTAGAAACGAAAACTACAATTTAAACGAAAATGGTTTCTCAACTTTCATTTATACCGAAAAAATGTTGATTATAACATTAACGCTTTTGTAACATACATATGTATAAAACATATAAATATGACACTATATAGTTTTACTAACTTCATAACAAAAAACAAATAATTAAACGATTAGCAAAAATATTTAATAAATTTTCTTTGAGACTAAAAATGAAGACGGCTGTTTTGTTTTTAACTCTTCTAATTCTTGTTTTTTCATGTAAGTCTAAATTAATATATTGAGGATAGTATGTAAAATATTAATTAACATCTACTAAAATATTAATTTAATAATCTCACATATATTTTAGAAATTTACAGGTACATCATTAGTTATAAAAGAATCTAATTTCGAAGAGAGAGCATATCCTTCCCATCTAGCAGCGACTCCTCCAATTGATCAATCTGCCTCTAACAAAAATCTTGGATTCTCTTCTGGCTGCAACCCAAAGTGTTTTTGTTATAATTGCACAAAGAAATATGTCTCAAACAAAAATCTTGTATTCTCTTCTGGCTGCAACCAAAAGTGTTTTTGTTATAATTGCGCAAAGAGTTGTTTTAGAAGGGGAAGGACGGTACAAAGTTGTCAAGGATTTGTTTGTCGATGCCATTATGGGCAACATCCATAAGACATTGTAAATTTGTTGTAAAATTCATAAAAAAAAAATTAAAAATAATTACTATGTACTGTTATTTGTTATAATTATTTTAGAGTATTGAACATAATAAAAAATAGATACGTGCAGGATTTCATATTTTAAAAAATATGTTTTATAAAATATATAATCAATTTGTTTGTTTTTCAGTAGTATTTAAGAAATTGTTTTGTTTTTTGTTTTTTTGGGAATTAGATAATAGGATATATACCATAATATTAGAAATTTATTACTTAATTATATTCTGTATTTTAAATAAGAATTGGTACACAAATTTGTTTTCTGTTTGATTAGTTATACATTTAGAATAGAAATATAAGTTAAAAATTAGACTATAAACATATTAAAAACTCTAAACGTTAAATAGTTTTTCAACATGAAATTTGTGCGGAGTAAGAGACTTTTTTTTTGGGCAAAGCGGAGCGAGAGACTAATTTACGAATTTGTAAAACAATAAAGAGAAGTTTCACAAGTGGATCCCAAATGAATGACCAAATTGTCAAGTCACATACATCATACAAATGAGGGGCTGACGATCTATTTCCCCCCAATAACTATGACATCAAGCCAGATGAAGCCCGATCTATGACTCTGTTCTATATGTCCCCGAATCAAAAGTTCTAATCATATATCTCCCCGAATTAAAAGTTTGAAATCCAGATGTCCCCGCGTCTGGATTACTTCGGTTTGCGTCGTAAACCCGAGACCAAACCATTTCTTCCCAAGAACAAACCGGGAAAACAACCCAACTCTAATACAAAACCCGACCCAGAAGTTGTTTTCTCAAAATCCCCAAAAACGAGAATTCGTTTTCTAAGAACCCTAAATTCTCAAAATCCCCAAATTTCGATTTTAAAAACCAAATCGAGTTTCAAGATGAGCAATGTATCAACCAATTCGACAGGATCTTCAAGTGTTCGTGGAAGAGGAAGAGTTCTCGGTGTGCCAAAAAACTGTTGGTGTGGGGAAGTAATCGTGGCACTAACCTCCAAATCCGATACCAATCCTTACCGGAGATACTTTCGGTGTGGTTTTGCTGCCGAAAATAGGGTAATTTCAAGCTTTTATCCTCTGTTTTTCCTAATTATGATTCGGATAATCAAAGCTTGAAATTTTTTTGTAGCTAAGGAACGATGAACACAAATTCAAATGGGTTGATGAAGCTTTGGTCAACGAGATAGAGACATTGAAAGCAAAGAATGCTGGACTTGAGCAGCAGCTAAAAGAGCTTATAACAGAGAGTTTGGAGTTTGAAAAGATGGTTTGCGAGAAGGTTCAAATGAAGATGGAGAACGAGTTACTTGAGAAGGTTGAAGATGCTTTGGCTGAATCCAATGCAAGCAATAAGAAGATGCTGATTGTTGTACTGATAGGGTGTATGATCATGATTGGATGCAGCAAACTACTAGGTTAACTTAGAGAATGATGTTCTTGGTGTGTTAATGATGTTTGTTGGTTTGATTTTGTACTTTTGATTTATACTTAAGACCAAATCTGTGGTATAATGTATGATGTTTGTGTTAATGTATCATGTTTCTCTTTTCTCTTTGATTCTAGACATAAAACAAGTGAAGCTAACGTTTCCATTAATGAAGCATAAGTCAAGTTACAACCAAATAAAGCCGAATAGAACACAAGTTCACATACCAAAAAAGACACAGGGATACATAAGTTTATGTGGTCGAAAATCAGAATGAGACAACCACAAATGAGTACCCTAATTCTACATAGCTATTCCTAATACTTGATCAAGCTTGAGTGAGGGAACCTTGACTTGGTTCAGGTTGAGAAGACTGCAAACCATCATGAGAAGTCTACAAAAAGAAGATAAAAAAAATGTGACATTGTTAGTGTCTCACAAATTCCACAATACCACAAATTAAAGAAAATGAAACACATACCTTATGATTCTTATCATTCTTATGGAACCTAGAATTGTGATCAGCAACCCCACAAATTCTACAATGCATGATTCTTTTCTTATGCTTTGGTTGCTTCTTAGTAGGAGACTCATTTACACCTTTCATTTAAGCCAAAGTCAGCCTTCAACATCTTCACAAACCACACCCAATTCTCTGTGTTCTCCACTTGAACCACACCCCATGCTATAGGATATATAGCATTATTTGAATCTCTGCCCAATGCTACTAATAACTGACCTTTTACTTTGTTCTTTAAAAAGCACCCATCAATGCCGATTAGAGGCCTGCAAGTCTCTATCCATGTCCTTCTAATGGTGTCAAAACAGACATAAAACATGTTGAAAATGTCTTTACCATCTTCACTCGTCAGACATTCAACCTCTACATGAGAATCCTTGTTTGAAACAAGTATCTCAGCCGCATAGTCTCTTAATCTACCAAACTGATCATCGTACTCCTTCTCAATCCACTGTAGTGCCTTTTTCCGCGCAGACTGACACTGTGGCCTAGTAACACTAATCTTCCATTGTTCCTTAATGATTTCTTCAAGCTTTGCTGGCATGTAAAACTCAGGATTGTCCCTAATCTTATCAACAAATAACCTAGCAATATGAGGCACCTTAAACATCTCATATTCACCATTTGGGATACAACTATGCTTATCTATAAACTTCCTAATCTTCCACATCGAATCACTCTTAAGAATCGCTGCATACACTTGCCAATAACACTTTGATCCTTCTGTACCATCGCAACCAACACATTTGAACCCAATTTTATCGGAATCGTACCTGTACTGCTTCAGATTGCATCCAGTTCGCAGAGCATAATCCACTACAGCCTCCTTGAAAGCGACTCCACTAAAGAATGTCTGGTTAGGGTACAAATGCCCATCACCGCGCCTTATATGTGTCTGAAACACTCCTTGACCGGCGTGGTTGTCCTCTGTATCGCTCTCCGGATACTCATCATGGCGAATTGGTGGTTCGTCGATGAACTCCTCTATCATTTCATGCATCAGAACTCGATCTCTATCTTCAGCTTCGGGATCGACATCTCCTACTAAATCCGGATTAGGAACGACAATAGCCATCGAAAGCTTCGATTTCAAGATCCTGAAACTACCAAGCTTCGATTCTCTCACTTTCTCTAGGGTTCGTCGTCTGTTTCGATTTGGGAATTTAGTTTTTAGGGTTTCGATTTGGGAATGTTTGGGTAGACTCTAATCGGGTTTTAATCGGGTCAAAATCTTGGTTTAGTCGGGTATAATTAGGTTTAGTAGGTTTATTATCCGGTTAAGAAAACAGTAAACCGTCGTAAGCCAGCTCTGTGGAGATATAACCGTCGAACTATTATATCAGGGACATCTGGATTTCAAACTTTTAATTCGGGGAGATATAGGATTAGAACTTTTGATTCGGGGACATATAGAACGGAGTCATAGATCGGACTTCATCTGGCTTGATGTCATAGTTATTGGGGGGAAATAGATCGTCAGCCCTACAAATGAGTGACTTGTTACTATTTATAAAGCAAGCATTTTGTCACTTTATAAAAAAGTTGTAATTTGGCCAATATGGTTTTCATTTATGACTAATTAGCATTAACATTTTTCTTTAATATACAATTAAATATCTATGTTTTAATAAATGTCTGGTAAAATATAAGTCTCTTATAATAACGAAGTGAGCAATATTACATATGCTATATTGCATATTTGTTTCTCATGAATACGGAATGGCTTGTTTTAGAAAGAGAAATAGTAATTGTCCAGGATTTGTTTGTCAATGCACATAAGTGGCATTTCTATTTACAGTGAAACCTCAATAAATTAATACTCTATAAATTAATAACCTCTCTAAATTAATAAAATTTTCTGGTCCCGAGTTGAGACCAGTGTAAAATATGACAGTAATAACCTCCATATTACTACTTAATGTTTTAAAACTAAGACTATAAACAAAATTTTAACTCTAAAACGACAAGTAAAACGAAACGGATGGAATATATTACTTAAATCTATAAAACAATAGCAAAAGTTAGATTAAACGTATTTTAATTTTCTTCTATTTAACACTCGAAGTATTAGAATGATATTAATCAAAGGCAACATAGTACAAAAGCTAGAAAATAAGCCACAATTGAGATGATCTTAGTAGTAGGTATTGATAAGAAAGGGAAAAGAGAGAGAACAAGAGAAAAATAATTGTGTCTTTTGTTGAATGATTCAAAGATGCTTACAAAATGATGACATAGGTATCCATTTATAGGCTAAGTTCACACACATTGTTATCGTTATGAAGAAAGTGAATCGCAGGATTGATGTTTAATTAGCTTCTCTTTTTGATTACTGAGCTTGGTTTTATTTGAGCCCTTATCCAAGACTAAATCTGTTTTCTGAAGCAGAGTAGTGTTGCTTTTATAAAGAACACTAGTAGGTGCCCAACAAAACCTCGAAAACCAATCAAACTTAAAACCTAGCATAACATACAGGATGAATGATAAAAAATAAACTCAAGGTGCATAACAAATCTCGACCCAACGAGCATAATAAATAAAGGCAAGGAATAACCACCATTTGCACTAGTTGAATTCAAAATATACAAGCCGAACACATCAACATCACAAAACCAGATCGAAACCAAGGCTACCACATCGATTTGTGGAAGAAAGTCACACACTAGAGAAACATAAACTGTATCGACGAACAAATCGTCAGACGAAATTAAAAAGAATAATAAAGAAAGACACTATAATAAAAATAGAGGCGTTTGAGCCGATGACGAAGCTGCAACCGTCGACCTTCCAATTTGGCACATGCCGCTTTACATCACTCTCCAACATTGCCGTTTTTATGGGTAGGCAAGGTAGGCAAATGCCATAGGTATATAGTCAATTTTAAAAAAAAAATTAGAGTTAAAAGGCCCAATTTGTTCAAAAACTTTTTTTTTATCAAGAGATTTTTTTTTTTTTTAGTTTTACCAAGGGTTCTACAATACATTGAGACGGGATACATATGAGAAAATTAAACATCTCGTCTAAAAACACTTAACCACATATATGGTAGATAAAAACTATGAGAAAATCAATGGCATGGCTAAGGGAGCCACCAGCCGCGGGTCCCAATCAAGAAGAGATCAAAAGGGTGACAACTAGGGTTTCTCTCTGAATTGTCCGCAGAGAAACCCACACAAACATGTAAAAGTGTCAACGACTTCTATGAAAATGTTATCCACACAATCTTATCTATGTTAAATCCAAATATACTAACTACTACTCCCTCTGTTTTCCAAAGATTGATTTTCCGAATTTTGCACACAGATTAAGACAAAATGATTGTTTCATTTTACTACATATTTATCTACTCTTTTCTGTTTCTCAACACTACCAACATTCTTTTTTTCTCTTTCTAATTCAATGAAAAGTTTTGCATCCAAAAAAGAAAAGCTTTGGCACTAATATAAATTATTTTTTCCATGCGTATCATTATTTATTTTTTTCGTAAAAAGAGAAAGCAATTAAATGTATTCTAAAAAATCAATCTTTTGAAAACAAAATAAAAACTCAGAAAATCAATCTTTGAAAAACAGAGGGAGTATTAATCTACTATGACTATGTCAATTGTCAACTTCCATGCAACAATTCAGTTGATGCATGCCAAATTAATAACATATTTTGTCGCATCTAAAAAGTACATTAAATTGTCATTAATGCGGAAATTACACTTGTTCAGAGTACATTTTACATGTGTCAAGAAACAGAAGTTATTATGTTTTTACACAAACTTCTTCTCTTTACACTTTTTGTTTCTCTATGCGGTAAAACAGAAAAATAGAGATAAAAGAGCTAACTAATGTCCTCCCACGGCAGAAACATTGAGAACATCAGCTTCTGGCGGTGGAGAAGGAAGCACAGTGAGCGCTAAAACTCCACTCACGGCCGCAACCACCGCCGCCAACACAAACCCCGGAATATTTCCTCCTCCAAACATCTCATCAAACGGTCCTGCTCCTACCGACACCACCATCTACATTCATCATTAATTACATGCATTCAACGATCCATTTGTTTTTTTTTGTCTCTTTTTACTCATTCATTACTTTAACTCCAAAACCATACGATAAGAACGATATATTCATTGATATAAGAAATATATAACCTGTGGTACAACGATTGCAAGATTTAAAACCCCCAACGACAGTCCTGCATGCAAAAAAAATAAAAACAATCACTGTCTAATAAATACTCGAATATTAAACCCATGCATGCATAAACTATAAATGACATTTAGAAAAAAATGTATTAAAAATATATATATATGTATTTACATGCATATAATCTTTTAAAATTCACATTCAGAATTATACAAACTTACCTTGGCCAGCACCAGAAGAAGAAGAAAATATTGATGCCAAAGCGAAAGGAATGCTGTAAGTTATCTGAAAATAAATAACATAAAGAAATTATTACTTGATTTAAAAAAAATAAAAAACTATTTCTTTTAATTTCATAAATAATGAAACAAGTTAATAAAAAGTCAAAAAAAATTATTATACTTACAGCAAGAGGTACACCGAGGAGAGCAAACAACGACAAAGCTCCAATTTTAACACCAACCGGTGGAGAAATCGCCACCACCCCTAACACGGCGGAGTCGCGACGGCTCGACTCCGCCATCTTAGTAATCAAAACAGTCATCCCCAAACAGAACGCTAAAATGAAATTCACAATCCCCCACAACCGTTTCACACCACCAACACCACGCGCTAACCACTCTAACCCAAGCGAAGTGAATCCGAGCATCACCGAGTTTAACATCAACCCCAACGCGCCGGCGTGAACCCCCGTGTTATACACGCGCCGAGCATTATCATTAACGTTACCTCCTGAGTCACCACCGTACACTTCTCTTCCCATCCAATCAGTGTCAAATAAAAGAAAAGGAAACCAAGCAATCCAATTGAGACACGTCACCAAAAGTAACATCACCATTGGTCTTTCCATATCCTTCACCGCACTGAATAATTCCCCAAATAACGGAACTCTAACTTCTTTAGACAGCGCCGTTACTTCTTCCGTTATCTCCATATTCCCATCATCAACCTCTCCGCCGCCGTTTACTTCCTTCTCCGTCTCCGGCGACCACTGTTTCTCATCGACGTACCAGAGAGCGAAAATCGTCAGACTCATCAGAATCAGAATCGAGAAGAAGAAACAGCTTTTGAGATTCGCGCAATAGACATCGCAAGCTTTCGTCAACGTGAACGGAAACGCGTCGTGAAGATGAGTAAAAGCTCCGGCGGCGAATCCGAGTACATTTCCGACGGCCATGAAGAAAGAGAAGAAATAATTCGCAGTTCTCGTCTTCTTCCCACTATTACCAGAGAGATCCGCCAACAAAGCTCGACAAGGTCCTTGAAGCATGTTATTAGCAACATCGAGAATCCAAAATCCGACGGCGAAAACAACGATTGCGTGTGATTTCGGCGTTGAATCAACTCGATCTCCTAAAATCTCACCGATATCGGCGGCGTAACCGATAAGAACGACGGCGATTGCGACGAGCCCAGCACCGGCCGCGATAAATGGACGACGGCGACCAAAACGCGATTTGCAGCGATCGCTGTGGTAACCAACAATGGGCTGGACTAACATACCCGAAATTGGGCCGCATAGCCAAATCAGTGAGGCCCATTTATGAGGTATGCCTAAAAGCTGAACGTAAGGAGTTAAAAGTGAGAGCTGCAAAGCCCATCCGAATTGTATACCAGCGGCGATAGACGCAACCGCAATCGTTTGTTTTAGCGGTGAAGAAGATATCTGCGTTTGCGTTTGAGACTTTTTCATGGCTCTCTCTTTTTTTTTTTTTTTTTTTTCTCACTAGATTTATTGAATATGTGGATTTGTGGATAGAGAGGGAGAGAGGGAGGTATAAATAAGGAGAAGAAGGGTTTTGCATGGGAAGGCAAATGGCGGGAGGAGCTTTATCCGTTTGAGTAGACTTTGATAGTGTACTTTAATGCACTCAGATATACATGTGTCATTTTTTTCATTTATTGCTAATTTAATCTAGGTTTTGTTTTAGGCAAAGAGGAATTTTTAATAAAAAAATCTTAAGCTGTAATGGTAACTCTCACTTATAAATCTATATTTACATTTTTGGAATACAATTTATAATTAAATCTTGGAATTCGGAAGTATTTACAAGTTATGTCATTGGTGAATCGGCTTTTATGGCACTCGGCTGATCCGGAAATAATTAAAATTACTTATGGAATAACGACGAAATCATAACCGTTCTAGATTCCATCGTTCATGTAGCTATTTTATAGCTATTTGAAAATTTGTGGCTACTGATGGGCTCAGAACCAATTTGTCTAGAAATATACATATATACTCTCTCTTTCAACAACACTCATTCTCACCACCACATGCATTCATTCTGAGAAATAGAAAAGCGCAACAAAACAAAAAAATGTCTTCTTCTTATTATCGATCGTGGATGAACGAACCAATGTACGATCATGAGTCAAGTTTACTGAAAGACGAGTTTGCATGAGGTGTAGTAGAATGCATACATTAAAGTTCTAGGCAGTGTTGCTCTTTGTTTTTTTTTTAAAAAATTTCTTTTGCTTCTATTTTAAACTTATATAAGTCTCATTTGTTCTTTATTTCTACTACTTTCGCTCCTTTTTTTTTTTGAATAGAATGTTAAATTTTATTCAAACAAAAAAAAACTGTTTTACATGTGTTGTTTCATTTTGAGCTGATATAATTTTGAATAATCAAAGTTGAAAACTACTTGTGGTCGAGAGATTCCTTTTGCTTCTTTGATGGGAGTTATAGAGTTCGGGTAGTAAACCACAGACGGAGGCCGTCGTCGTATGTGTCATCGCCTTGATTTCTGATGGTGCTGAAGCAGTTTCCGATGGTTTTATCGATAAGAATTCGCATAACCATGTGGGGAGGTCAGATGTTCTCCATGACTTCTTCTGTTTCTTTCGCGCCATATATGGTAGATTGTTGCTTGAAATGCATAGCGGTTGTGAATAGCTGAGATCGATAGTAGCTGGTGTCATAGTTTTCAACTTTTTTTTAATGTAATGTTAAATTAGATTTAAAGAAAAAATAACGTTTTTACAACAAGTGCGACTTTGTTTTAAAGAGACAAAAATATAAGACCTAAAACCTTGAATAAGATTGCTAATAGACTAAGAGATTTGGTGTCTAGCTTGGAGCCAGATCTGAAAATGCTTGAACTTTCACCATTGAATCAAATAAGAAAAGGCTTTTAAGAATTAATCTCTTGTATTCTTCTCTCTTTCTTCTTGTCAAGCTAATTCCAAGACTAAGAGAAATTGTTGCTTTATCACGAAAATTCATCCCAACAGTCTGGTGCAAACTCATCCACCACAACCTCCATTTATCCCCTCTAAGCTCCCAGTCATTAATGATTCAACCTCTTGGCCAAAGGATTTATGTGAGTTCTCAAAGGCATCTTCAAGGCTTACATCACCCCACTATTCTCGATGGCGGAACTGTACAAAAAAATATATCTGAGCTATTATAGGAAATCAACAAAGGATAAAGGAAAATTTAAAGGGAATCCATCAAATAGTGTAATCCTAAGGTTAATCACCATCGCAAACTCCGGTTAAGGATGCAGCATCCTCTGGTGATGCAAATCTAGGCTCCAAGTCTCACATTGCAAGAATGAGACAAATCCAATGGGTTTTGTTTTGTTCGACGAGAGGACACAAAGTGGCCGTAACACTATTACGCACCATTTTACTCTCTTTTTTTTGTCACTCATTTTTTATCTATAGGAAAATATTGATGGAAATTTATTTAAAATTTTAATCTTTGTTTAAATCATGATAAATTAGAATCGGATGGCAAGAGGACGATTAGCACATTTTAAGTTTATGGGCTTCTAACTCAAATCAACTAGCAATATAATGAGTAAATGGACCCATATCCCTTATATAAGTGTTGGTTCCTTCAAACTTCCAATGTGGGATCCTAACACGCACTAATGATCAAGAGATTTCAAGCTTACTCTCGCTGAAGTGTGGAATTCACGAGCTTGCTTTATTGCACTCTCTCGTGAATCAAGGGATGGAATGATGAAAAATCGCTCAATCAATGGACGAACAAGAGGGATGAATCACTCAACACACTCTTAATCCGAAACTTCAATGGACTAAAGTGAATCACACACTTGAATCTAAAGAACAAACAAACACAAAGTGACTCAAACTTTGTAGAGAAGAAAATGCTTTCTTATTAATTTCAATGGTCAAGGGTGTATTGTACAAAGTGTAGATGTCGGATTCACACACTCAAGTATTTATTTATTGAGGGTTAAAATTCTTAAAGACAGAAGTGCAAGACAGATATTGTTAGTAAAAGTTTAATAAAGTAGGTAGAAAGGTATAAAGAAGTTTTTTTTTTTTTTTTTTAAGGTATAAAGAAGTTGTAGAGAGAAAATAGTATTGTATTCATAATATAAATATCTTAATCAAAAAGAGAATAAATAACATTTTGTATATTTATGGGAAAATAACAATACTTAAGTCTAAGATTTGTGGTAAAAATGTAGGATGTCTTACCTCTTTTTATTGGAGTTTTCACCTCTCTTTTATAGCTTCTTTCCTTTTCCCTAAGTGTCATTACTTGGCCACTAATTTTAGAATTAACTCACAAAATAACTCTACAATCAATTCATAAACTTGAATGACAAGTTTACTCCTTTGATCATAGTCATTAATTCATGAATTAACCTTGTGCGGGAAGAAATAATTAGTAAATAAATTTAACATTGGGGTTAACTATATAATCTATTGTAATGGCCAAAATGTGTAATGACTTTAGATTTTATATGGAAATATGAATCGTCTATAAAATGATGATTATTTTGATATTATAACTTATTATTAATAGGATAAATAATTCACTTAAAATTAGAATTACGATTTTTATGTATTGTTTGTGAATTTGTCTGTGTTTTGATTCAGAAACAAAGTATATGTGATTGTGATTTTTTGAATCATTGTGGATGAAGATGATATTGGCACTCTATTTATAGGAAAATATGGTTTTGGAATTATTATTTTTTTACTTTTTATCGATTTAATGTTGTGTTTGTATTTATTTAAGATTTCGTTTTGAAAACAGATTAATTTTAAAACCAAAATGAATATATTTAGTGATTGTTAATTTTGTTTTGAAAACAAATTAATTGGAAGAACAATACATATAAATGAATTTATTGTATACTTATATTATTTGATGGAGGCATGGAGCTGTGCTTACTGCTTATGGCTCGTTCGGTGTTAATATTACCATAATCTCAACAACTATTTTCTATAGTGGATATAAGGAATAGATCTAAGATTAAAACCATAATGGTATTGAAAACACAGATCTTCAGTTAGGATTTATTTATTTAAAATTAATAAATCAGATTAAGCACTGAATTTGAACCTTAGTGCTAGTGTAAATAAATCCAAGAAGTATTCTAGTTTAAATTAAACCTAATGGGTTTTTTTAAACACATAAATGATTATTTTAATAATAATGAGTTTTACTTAAAATAAATTACTTACAACATACTAACATAGTATCCCTTATACAAATATATATATATATATATATATATATATATATATATATATATATATATATATATATATATAAATATCTTCAAATACAAAAATATACTATATAGTGTTTTAGTTAATTTGAAAACGAAAATAACAGTAGTTTATTTGAATATTCATATGAAGTTGTACTATTATTTTCTTAATACACTAATAATCACTTATGATCAATATTAAATACAAAAATATGTTAAATAGTGTTTTAATTAATTTGGAAAATAAACGAAAATAAAAGTAGTTTATTTGAAATAATAATTATGTAAAGATTAATTGCTTAATTATTTGTTTTCTAATTTATGTGATATATGTAATGTATGAGACTAATGGTAAATTCTGTAAATAGTTTAATAGAAGTTGGGTAATTATTTAAATAAGAGTCAAATCATTGTGAGAGCGACACATCAGCGTGGCAATCTTGTTAATAACACATCAGGGTAAGGTTTATTTTTTATAGTGTTTCTCTATTAATATATAGGGGATTAATCTTGACCACCTCCTTTGTGCAACATATATTTCGTTGGACTTGTAAATCGATGGGCCTCCAAAGCACTAAAGTGATCCAGTGGACTGGATCCGGTATCAACACAAGGGGCGAAATGAGCTTTATATAGAGCTCCTACAAGAGTAGACTAACGTTATAAAATGGTAGAAATAAGAAAGAAATCATACAATGAATGCAAAACTAGCCGTAGGACAATAATAAGAAATCAATCAAAATACGGGAAGTGGTGTCTCCTTTGAATCGGGTCGGTTTAAGGGGGTAGGTGAGATTCTTTGGAATATTCTGGTCGTCATAGAGGTTACCCAAAACGCAGCAGTCTTGGTGAGAAAACCATTGGAAAGTTATTGCCCTAAGTGTGAATGCGGCCATATAAGGAAAGTGTGAGGACAACGAGATCCGCTTGATCTGGTACTTGTTGGTGCATGGAAAGATGTTATATGACTCTCCCAGATTGGTTAAGGTCTCTTCTGATTGGAGTAATGTCTCTCCTGGTCGCCAAAGTTTTGTTTATAAACCCGTTAACTTCCAAATAAGGCAAACTGAGAATCATCTGGTTTAGAAAACTAAAATCTCCTAAACTGAAATCGGTTTTGAATTGATTTCAACTCTAAGAGCTCCTCTGAATAGTCAAGAGTGCAGGAAAATCCTCCAATGACTTTGTGTATGTCTGACTTGTAAATTGAATAACTCCTTCGTGTGAATTTTGGGCTGATTCTTCTTCGAGGTGCTCAGTAGTTGAGATGAGAATGTATTCCAAGTGGTCGTTAGTCTGGCGGAATTGATCTTGGACTTTGTATGGACTGAACAAGGCTCAGGGGTCTTCTCGGGTAGGCTGAATTGGTTTTGGCCTAAATTTTTTGTCAGAATTACAAAAAACGATACTAGAAATTCTGTGTTATTATATTATTCTTTGTTAAACGTCTACACATACATATATATAGAATTTAGGATACATTAACCCTAATCATATATTAAACCTAATAAAGCCCATATCAAAGGCATGACACAAAGGCATGTTCCAATCCTATTACCCCCCCCTTCAAGTTGGAGTGGTCTATCAAGAACACCCAACTTGCCGAAAAGGAAAAAAAAAAAAAATTTGAAGCGCCTTCAGCTGCTTCGATCCTCACACTAACCTGAAGCACATTCCGCAACTCCTTGATCTTCACAAACCTCTTAGCGCATTCCGCAACTCTTTGAATTTCACAACACTCTGAGCGGCTTTCTGCAACTCTGATAATGTGAACAACAGTCTGATCGCCTTCTGCAGCTCTGACGACTTTAACAACGATCTAAGCGCCTTTTGCAGCTTTGACCTTTACAATAGTTTGATTGCATTATGCAGCTCGGATAGCGTTGACACCAGTCTGAGCACATTTTGTAGCTCTGATGACCTAAACAACGGTCTGAGCGTCCCACAGCTCTGACCTTAATAACACTCTAAGCGAATTCTGAAGCTTTGATAACTTTAACAATGGTCTGAGCGCAGTTCGCAGTTTCTTTGATGACTAACCACGCAATAGTCAAAGTGTTGACCACACGACCGATAGGCTTCCACGACTATTAGTAAAATCACAAAAACCCTAGCAGATCTTCGAGAATATCCATAAAGGAATAAACTTGCTCCTCAATTTTATCCTTTCCATATGCTGATTCGGAGAATATTTAGTGAATTTTTGAATCAACAACCACACCAAGAACACACCGCACCAGCTACTCGCTTCGTGAGCACATCGCAGACTCTTGATACCAACTCATGTTGACATCAACTGGTTGTCTTCAACATCAGCTGGTTGTCTTCAACATCAACTTGTTGTTCAGAGTCAAAACTTTGTAAATCAAAAATGGATAACTCAAGACGAGTTGTGGAAACACCAGAAACAGAGACCTCTTAGGTACTCTGAAACAAACCAAACGGAGCAGCAATCTGTTTGCAAAGCCCCAACCTTCCTTTGCCAACCACGAACACGGAAACAAACATCTGAGCCAGACAACTAGTTGAGCCTGACAGCTACTGGATGTCTTACAACCAAACAGATGGAAAAATATACCAACCAGAGAAATCTGAGACTTGACACAAAGGAAGAACAAACAAACCCATGCTAATCCAAAACCCTAAAACATCGAGATCTACCACCGTGAAACCAGATCTAAAAACCACTCTCCCAAAAAAAAACCCTAATTTTAACAACTCCCCTTCTCTCACCAACGAAGATCTCACAAACTCGACATAAATGAAACCCGACAAACCAGATTGAAAAATAACCATTCTCACCAAGAAACATCAAAAAATGAAAACCGACAAACCAGATCTAAAAATCTGCTCTCAATAACTAATTAAGGACTATTAGAAAACATCAAAAACAAAACCTTGCAAAGACCAAAACGACTAACAAAAAACGAAGAATAAAAAACTTTTTTTTTTCATCTTAGTGGAAGCAAAACAACAACCCTAGAAATTGTAACCTAGAGCTCTGATACCATGTCAGAATGACACAAAACGATATTAGAAATTTTGTGTTATTGTGTTGGTCTCTGTTAAACGGCTACACATACATACATATAAGATTTAGGGTACATTCACCCTAACCACATATTAAACCTAATAAAACCCATATCAAAGGCCTGATTTGATTCTAGTAAAAGGCCTGACATCAAAAGCATGATCCAATCCTATTAGTTTTAGATGAAATTTTGTTAAAAAAATCCCAATTGGCTGCTCTTGGGTGGTTGTTTCTTGCCCATAATATTCTCCGTGGTTGGTATTTGGGTTGATGATCGCATCAACGAGGCCATTATTAAATATAATTGCAAAAACAGAAAATATTTATAACAATCTGCAAGTTGATTTTATCTTATTAAAATATTCAAATATGAGTTTTTTAAAATTAAAATTAAAAACTTGATTGACCCAATGTCCAACCATTTTATCTTGGTGACTTGATGATTTGATCAACTTCCTCTCGTTCATCATCTAAACTCAACATTTATATAAGCATAAGCATTGAGGACTCAAGGTAAAGATATTCCCATTGGCATTGCAATAACCATCCCCATTCCTCTTCTTTTTACATGCAGCAGCACATTCTTTCGTGTCGCAATATTCGTAACAATTTTTTTTGCCCTTACCATTACAAACTTGCAATACTATTTTTTCATCACATTTTCTTCTTTGTGCTTCAACCACTGTTCCTGTTAAAGGTAAACATTTAAAACATAATGTATCAGTTTTCTATTTTTAATAATAAGAAAATAGTACATTCTTCTTCTTTCATTTTTTTTGTCAAAACTTTCTTCTTCTTTATTTCTTTCTTTCATTCAAATGGATGATTTAAGAAAGATTTTGGGCATATTAGTGAAAAAATTAATATATCAGATACGTAATCATCTATTAATTCTTTACAATTATGTCATCATAACATAATATCTTTATCTTCTTTTTTCATTTTTTTCCATCAAAATAGCATTATATTAGATTTATGAAATCAATATGTAAGTGTTGTTCAAGCCATATATGCAGATGTACTGAATCAAATTTTTTTTATCAATGATATAAATTGCATAGAGGACTACAAAACATTAATCTTGATGAGAAAAAAATATTGCGCAAAAGTGTATATATTTATGAAATGAAAGGAGAAATATAGATAATGACAAAAATAAAACTTTTAACACCCTAAAATCTAAAGACATTATTAAAAGTGAATAAATAAATCAAAATAAACTATTACAGTTTGTTTGGCGAGAAACCAACTGAAATGAGTATTTTTCTATCATTTGTGTGTAGGTCTGGCTCTGCATATGTAAACTAAGGAAGACCCAGTTTTTTTTTCTCATTTATTGTAATTATAAAAATTGAAATAAACCTATTTTCACATCAATATAATGCTCGTCTCGGCAGCCTAAACACGATCTGTAAAATGTGTGATAAATCTTTTTGCCCAATTGTTAGCACTTATTGTCCAATTTTTTCCTTAGGTTGCCTCAATAAAGCTTGAAAATGAAAATAACAATATCCATTAACTTAAGCTTAATATATTGGTTGGAAATATGTTTAGATTTTTCATTACCTCAATAGAGCTTGAAAATGAAAATAACAATATCAATTAACTTATAAGATTAATTTAGTATATTGGTTGGAAATAGTTCCTAACTTCAAGCATTATTTGTCTGTGTAATTTGAAAGGTAGCTTGATTAAATAGTATGCTATATTAAAATACATAGAGAAATATCTTAGCACTGAAACAAGTTTTATGGACAACTAGATGAATTCCCATGCTACGCGTGGGTTTGTTTTGAAAATTGTTAAGATAAAAATATGTTAATTGTTTTTGTTGCTAATTTATGTTTATTTTTCTGTTTGTTATTGTATACTTAATAAAATTAGACTCATCTTATGTACTTAAAATTTTTATTGTTAGATTTGTTTTTGACTCTAAATATCAATTTTTACATTTTCATTTATAATCTGATTATTTTTATATCTAAGATTCTAGTATTTGTTCATTATCATGAATACACACAACAAGAATATAAGATATTTTGATCTCAAGAGTTTTCGTATGAAAAGAAGAAAAAGAAAGCAAAAATTAAAGAGTTATTTAAGTAACAATTTTAGATTTTATGCTATTGCATATAATATGAGACTTTTGATTTTCTCTCAATTAATTTTGCTGATTTTTAATTTAAATAATGTAGAATGACACATGTCATTTTCTTGGGTGATGATGTGTCACTCATATGGAGAGAGTTGACCAACTTTTATGTATATGATTATATCACGCATTCCAAAAATTTCAAAATTAGCATTAGTGAGTTTACACAACCTTTTTTTTTTTACCATTAGCTAATTATGTAAAATAATAAAATTAATTACAATTTGAAATCAAGATTATAATATGATCTAATATGATCGCGTGAAACGTCAATAAAATGTTTAAATTAGTATTTTAAATAATACATTTATGTTATTTTTGGAACTTTGGAGATTTTATGATAAATTTGGTAATAATACTTATTTTTGTGCTATTTGTGAGAATTACCCATTTAAATATGATTTATTCGATAAAAACATATTATTTATTATAATGGCTTGATTAGATGGAATGTGAAAGGTATTTTAGTCAAAGCTTATTGAAAAGATATTACCATTTTATTATACTTTTGAGTTTCAACATTTGATTATTAACCAAAAAAATAAAAATCTAAAGTTATATTTTGAATACTCATTCTCATTTCATTTCTTGTATTTCCAATAATAGTTAGTGTCCGAGACAGATTCAGCACTTTAATAACCGAAGAGCTAAATACAAAGAAATGAAGTCGCGGAAATGTTTTTCTTTATTGATTTCAAGAACGAGAGCTTACAAGTACAAAGAGATCTTTCGTGCGTCAGTCACAAGCTAGAGTTTTTCCTTGTATTTTCTATGTCTAGGGTTCTTGAGAGTCGAATTGTAGATCCTTTCTTGGTGACGGCTCATTTCTATTTATATTCTTCCTCCTAGGTCTCCGAATATGCCTTACTTCCATATCCTTCGACCCAAGACCTTCCTTTCTTTTATCCCTCTCAATATTACGCAATATTGCCCGTATATTCGAGTTAATCCTTCCATTCTGTTAGGTCGATCTTGATCTTTTCATTTCAACGCAATGGGGCCTTAGTCCAATATGAATGGGAATAAGTCATTGGGCCGAGCCCAATAAGATGTTTCAAAGATTCGGTTTATTCTTGGTTCGAGTTGAGTTAACTTGGTGGTGCTAAATCACCCATCAACAATTAGCACCCCCCCCCCCCCCCCCCCTGTATGGCGTAAGGAAAAAGCGAGTAGACTTTGCCGAGATAGAATGATAGTTTAGCTGGACTCAAACTTAGATAAAAACCGGCTTGTCACTTGTCCGACTGTTCCTGAGCAGTTTTTGGATATCAAACGGACCTCTCCAGAAGGTAATTTTAATGTGGCCGCTATGGAACTTGGGGATGGGTCTTTTGTCGAAATAGAGTGGATGTTGTTTAAACTTGAGAAGCTTAAGGCCCAAGAAAGATATAAACAAGTCGGTTTATATTAAAAGAAGATTCTAGATTTTGGTTAGGAGTTATCTAAACCTAATTCTAGTGTGTTTAGGATTTGTAGAATTAGTATAAATAGAGGTGCCAAGGTTGTGGCTAACCCTATGTGTTTTTTGAGAGAACAAGAGAGATTTGTGAGGTTTAAGTTTTGAGTAAAGTTTCTTAAACATAATAAAGAGAGGAGTCTTTGTTAATCATAAGTCTTTGAGTTCCTAAAGTGTTTTGATCAATAGTTGGTATCAGAGCGATATTGAATCAGAAACATGAAGATCGTGAAGGAACAAACGATGGCAGAGCTAGTTCCCGTAGACAAGCCAAAAGAAACTGGTTCCTCATCGATCCGGTGCCCGATGCTCAATACCACAAACTATACTGTGTGGACCATGAGAATGAAACCGATGCTCAGGGTTAACAAAGTATGGGAGGCTATTGACCCAGGAACAACCGATGAGGACAAGAACGATATGGCAAAAGCACTTCTCTTCCAATCCATACCAGAGTCGTTGATTTTGCGAGTAGGGGAGTATGAAACTGCGAAACAAGTCTGGGATGCTATCAAAACTAGGCATATAGGAGCTGACAGAGTAAAAGAAGCCCGACTTCAAACCCTAACAGCTGAATTTGATCGGATCAAGATGAAAGAAACTGATAATATTGATGAGTTTGTAGGAAAACTTTCAGAGATTTCTACTAAATCTGCTGCTCTTGGAGAAAAGATTGCAGAAATCAAACTTGTTAAGAAGTTTCTAAAGTGTCTCCCAAGGAAAAAATACATCCAGATAGTAGCCTCACTAGAGCAAGTTCTTGATCTCAAGAACACAAGCTTTGAAGAAATAGTAGGAAGAATCAAAGTCTATGAGGAAAGAGTCTGTGATGAGGAAGAAGAAGTATCGAATGATCAGGGAAAACTCCTATATACAAACCTTGAATCACAACCATATCAAGGTAGTTATGGAGGAGGAAGAGGCAGAGGACAAGGTGGAAGATATTCACAAACAGGGAGAGGACGTGGTCGCTTCTCTGGGTATCAACAAAACGGAAGTATTAGACAAGAAAGAGACAAATCAAAAGTGATATGCTATCGATGTGACAAAGTAGGGCACTTTGCATCAACTTGTCCAGATAGATTACTGAAACTTCAAGAAGCACAGGAGCAGAAAGATGATGAGACTCATGAAGCAGAGGAACTAATGGTGCATGAAGTTGTCTATCTGAATGAAAAGAATGTGAAACCAAGTAATTTTGAAACCCAAAGTGATGGAAAGAATATTTGGTATCTTGATAATGGAGCAAGCAATCACATGTCAGGAAATAGAGAATTCTTCACTAAAATTGATGAAACAGTGACAGGCAAAGTAAGATTTGGTGATGATACACGTATTGACATAAAGGGAAAGGGCTCTGTTTTGTTCTTAAGCAAGAATAAAGAGAAAAAGATCTTGGCAGATGTATATTACATACCAGGTTTAAAATCAAATATCATTAGCCTTGGTCAAGCAACAAAGTCTGGCTATGATGTCAGAATGAAGGATGATTATCTCACAGTACATGACAAGGATGGAAAACTTCTAGTTAAAACAAAGAGATCAAGAAATAGACTGTATAAAGTCCTCATGGAACTTGAGCCTGCAAAATGCCTGCAAACAATGGAGATTAGTGAATCAAGAAGGTGGCATGCAAGATTAGGACATATAAACCTACAAACAATGGAAACAATGCAGAAGAAAGAACTTGTGACTAGCCTGCCTACAATAAAAATTGAAAAGGAAACTTGTTCTTCATGTCTAATGGGAAAACAAGTAAGGAAAGCCTTTCCTCAAGCAACTACATATAGAGCAGAAAAACGACTTGAGCTTATACACGGAGACCTCTGTGGTCCCATTACACCCTCCACAACAGCAAGAAATAGGTATGTGTTTGTACTAATTGATGATCATTCCCGTTACATGTGGTCCATCCTTTTAAAGGAGAAGAGTGAAGCCTTTGAGAAGTTCAAGAAGTTTAAAATGCTAGTAGAGCAAGAAACAGGAACTTCTATCAAAACTTTTAGGACAGACAGAGGAGGAGAGTTTGTATCCTATCAATTTCAGAGTTTTTGTGATAAAACTGGTATACAAAGGCATC